CTCTCTCTCTCTCTCTCTCTCTCTCTCTCTCTCTCTCTCTCTCTCTCTCATTTCTTCCGCGTCTAGATTCTCATATCAAAGGGATGAATTTGAAATATCATAATAAGAAAATAATTCGATATGCTTGATCCTACCCATTGATTGCAATTATATTGGTAAGAAAGTCCTTTTCCCTCTTTCAGAATGATATGAAAACTTTCTTTTCTTCAAGATGTTAGGTAATCATAGAGAAAAAAGTAAGGGATGGACGTAATAAAGAAAAAAAACGCGGAATTGTAGAAGGAGGCCGGTATTTCATAACGATATTCTCGAAAAAAAAAAATTTGCTTTGCGCGATTAACATAAAATAACAGCCAAGTCCTGTGGACGAAGGATGCACATTCCTGCATATCCTTGACACGATCCGCTCGGCTCTCGCGTCAGACGTGCGTCTCACCGTTTACGGAATTCTCAGGTTTCAAGGCGTCGACGTCGTCACTGCCGTGCAAATATAAGAAACGGACGTGCAAATACCTCGATGCGAAATCAGCAGTGCGTGAAAAGGAAGACAGAGAGGGAGAACAGAAAGAAAAGAAAGAGATAAATCAGGGTTAATTATTATCCGTTAATAACTATCAGTTAATTACTATCGGGATAAACGCCCAGGATGTGCAAAGATATACAAACAAAAATTAGTATTATAAAATATTGACAATAAAATTATACGTAAATGATAATAATATTGTGTATGTAATATACCAATAGGAAGTAAAAAATTAAATCAAGCATTATGTAAATGATGTGCGCTACATAAATTTCGAAGAATCGAAATTTATTATTTCAAACTCTGCGCGCATCGAAATAAGAAAATAATAAATATTATCTAGATATTTAATAAAAATTAATAATGAAAATAAAAATGTTACGAGTATTACAAAGAGACAGAGGAGAGAAGAAATAATAAAAAAGTTCGTTTTAAAGAATTCTGCAAAATTGTTATCGATCATGAAAAGATTTACGAGCGATGTTCGTGATTTAAATATGCGCGATAGCAAACGAAGGAATTGCGGATATAACTCGTAAAAATAATCTCGCGAACGGAAGCGAATATGACGGCGATGGATCTTTGGGTCTGACTAGTAACGGTGCGATCGATTAATATTCGCGGCGGGTCGATCCGTCGACAGGAAACCGGAGGGCTGCAACCGCATTTCCGCGGTTGATTACAGAGACGAGAAACTGAATTGGAAAACAATCTTGAACTTAGATAATTATTTTAAGTAGCAAGGCGGAAATAGAAATGAAGAATATCTGCTTTTATCTTACGGGATGTTGATAAATTTAATAAAAATGGAGTTATTGATAATATATTGTGTCTTGCCAAAAATAAATATAATCATCAATATTTTTGTAGAAAGTATTTTCAATACATGACAAAAAAAATAAAAGATATCTTAAATGTATTACTTGTTATTATTTCATGTATATATGTATATATGTATTCAATAAAAGTTTAAGAATGACTAATTAAAACCTGTTTGAGTCAGAACAAGAGTCATGACGTCAAAGAATTTTTTACGTCTCGCACAAAAAAACAGCTAACTTATGATTCGATTATTTGAAGAATTCGAAAAATTTCCCAAAGTCTGTTGGGTCTGGACCGTCAACGCTGTGCGAATCTTGCAAGAAGTTTGATGAATAGAAGTTTGTTTCTTCGAAGCATTTCGTTTGTAACAAAGCCAGCTGAAGGCCTCGTCGGAGAGGCACGATTATCTTGTAACAAAAACATGATGTAATACGCTTGCAATAACGAGACACATAAGGAAAAAAGCTAATATTTCATAAAATAATAGCTTAGAATTTCATTCTATAAATCTCACAACATCTTTATTTTAATTTCAGTTTTATCCATAATAATAATTATTATAATTATCACGGCAATAATTTTAATTTAATCAATAGATTTAATGATAATTTTAGTTGTCACAGTTGGTTATCGAATATCTAGCTGTCCAAAACAGCAATATGTTATTAATAAATGCATTTTTATTTTTAATGAATATATTGTTAATAAATTGTCATAATATATTTAAAGTTGGTCTGTATTTTATCTCGATTTTTATCAAATAAAAGCGTGACAATTACACTTAACTTGATGCTACTGCGCATCTTTCGTAACAATTAATAATTTCTATTATTATCGCCAGTTAAACCCTCACGTCAAACAATACCAGCAGATAACTCACGCATAGATAACTATACTTAAAGCACGCACATTTCTGACTCATACCAGCTGACGATTTGTATTTGCTTTAACGATCTTTCATGTGGCATGAATATTTGAATTGGTAATTTTGGGAAGAATACATTCGCAGGAAAATTAACGTCGCAAAAATCGAAAGTTAAATTTTGAAAATTTTCCTGTTTAAAGTAAAAAAATATACTATTATCTTTAATATAACTATGCTTTAATTAAAATTTTATGATTCCATCAGTACACACGTTACACTTTAAATAAATAATTCATTTCTATGGTCTATTTTTATGCTTTTAAATAATTTTAGATCCAATATTTCTATCAATCAATTTTACCATGTCTGCAATTATTAGTTTTAATTTTATAATATGTTCATTAATTAATATTTTTCATTAAAATTATACATATTTAAACTATGACTAAGTTATATGCGCCGCAAGAAATGACAAAGCAAATTAATTAAAGACAAAGACGAAATCGAGCTGGTCTTAAGACGGATCCTAATCGCTCTCTAATCGCAGGTTAATGATCATCGCTTGCGTTTTTAATTAAAAAGCAAAGTGCATTATAATGTTTTGAGATTCTCTCTTCTTTTTGGTAGACTGATCGAGATTCTACACCTGGCAAATATGTTTCTTAATTCATCCTTTTTTTGAAAACTTAAGATCCCATTGTCTCGTTACTTAGCCCGCTAGCCCTACCTTTTTCCGAGAGATCTATCCCGAACTTGTTCTAATCAGCTGAAGCCTTAGAATACCAAATTAAAAAAAAAAAATCATGACCAACTGTTGTTCGATATGTTAAGCCTACTCTTCCTACTGAGATACTTATGTGTTTCTCAAAGAAAGTGTAAGAAAGTTAACGGTAATTCAGTAGAACGTACACGCTTCCTCTGCCCAAAAATTCCTGGTTGGCTCCCTGCAGTTAATCGTGTTTTATAAGCAAACGAGGAAGCTAGCGAAGAATAGTAAAGCTAATAACGAATTTGCGAAGTGTATTCCTGGTAAAAAAATAAGAAATATATTTTATTGTACGCTTAATAAGCATAAATATAATACAAAATACTCACTCTAAAAATACAAGGAGATCAAATGAAGAAAAATTAAATCAGATTTGTGAAAAATTATTCTATGACTTCTTCTGTCGTATGACGTCTATCATCATTCGAAATTGTCATAATAATTCTTTTAAGATACGATATTTTTCGTACAATGCTAATATTTCTAACTTGTCTGCGAACTTCCATCGTGCGAACTGACCCCTTTCAAGAAACGATGTCTTGAACAAGAAATTATAGTTATTAGGAAATTGGTGCAACGCCCGATTGCGACAGAGGAATCCATGTGGGAATTCCGACATCCGATCGGCTCTAATCGGGTCGATCGGCACGTAGCGCCATAAAATCGCCGATCAGTGTGTCAATGTAAAGTGGAAACGACCTTCCAGTGTCAGCGACCAACTCCGCTCGTCTTGAGGACGGCGTCGGCTTAAACGCTAGCTGGCAAACGTTACGCGACAATACCAAGGACCAACTTCGGGCATATAATTGTGCACGTACTACATACCCGTCATGTAGAAAGCGTGCGATGATGTATCGCAGGGGCGCTCTTCCTCCGACGATCATCCGTGAACAAATCTAATACGGCGTTATTAAAAGCTAATTCATTTCAAGGAACTTAAATTTTTAACTTAGAGGCCTAAATTTTTAATTTAGAAGCCGAGAACAACTATCCCCCTGTCCCCTAAAGATCGCTATTTTTTCTGGTTTTTAAGATTATAAAAAATGTGATTGAAAAAATACGACTTATCAAGCAATAAAATTAATAATTCTTGCATTATTAAAAAAATGTGATGTTAAAAGTTTATTTGCTTTACTACAAATTTACAAGATTGCAAGATTTAACTCTATTATTAAAAATTGGCAGAATTCCGTAACTGTTTATATTATCATTAATTTACAAGGTTATGAATTTATTTGTTTATTATATTTTCCCTTAAATTAGCTGATATATTTTGCTCATTTCAGCGCTACGCGTTAATTCCATGTTACTTTATCTATTTAATTTATATAATATTAATGTAAATATATATCTATGAACAGTTGTAACTTGTGCGATATATATGACGCCTATGTCTTAGCGATTCTTGCACAACGTAAAGTTTTATCGGTCTCGCAAATAGCCGCGATATGTATGGAAATAAAACTGTTTTCGGAGATACAAACAATTCTTGCTGCGAGTCAATCTATCGATCCGACCCTGATTCTATCTGCATGTGGTGACAGACGCGCGACGCGCAAGGCGATTGTCTACGTGACTTTCGTAGCTTCCTGCCCGACGTGTCCCACATATCCGTTCTTCTTTGTGCTAGGCATCTTCGCGTCTTCACGACGTCGATTTTCCGACCACGCTTTCGATTTTTCGCGCAAGACTTGGTCCAGAACATCTTTTTTCTATCAACGCATTTAACCCGTTAATGATTTTAGTACTTTACCTAACTTGAAGCGTCTATGTTACGTCAGGATTTAGGGAAGAAAATTTTGTGAGATGTTGAGATAAACTTTTTTTTAATTTCCATTCTCTCTCTCATACAACTATATTATTTTTATAAATAGGAACTAGATGCTATCAGTTCTTATCACTCGTGTTTCATCACGAATAAAATTATTAGAAGCGAAAAGTAATCGTTTATGAACTTAATTTGTAATTTACAATTTTTTGTTTTGTTTGACACTTAGGTCTTCCCGTAGCCGACGAGTCTGCTGATACGAGCACGATTGGAACTATCGGAAATGTCTCAGAAGTAACTACTGTTCCCGAAGCGGAAGGTCACTCCATGGATGATATAATGCCGGGAACAAAGCCGCCATCGAGTGCCGTGATGTTCGTCGACATCCCGGAACACACGGAAACGGAACTGGGCTCGTCCGTACTGTTGGCATGCCGAACCGCTAATCCTGTAGCCGAGTGCCAATGGTCCTGGCAGCCATTGCCGCCGGTACACCTGCCACTTCCGGATATCAGTGAAAGCCCGTCAGTTTCTACGAGTAAGCGCGACATCCGCACATTTGTTCCTTCCGCGATTAGCTCCTGAGGAATATTCATATATCTGACTTGCGGACATTTTCGAAAAATCACGGATAATAAACTCGATATAAATGATTTAACATCAAGACGATTGATTACATTTTATAGTAAACCAATTGCAAAAAATGTATTTTCGATTAAAAAATTTTTTTAATCGAATTAATCGCGCTTCCAAAATTCTTCCATGTTCTTTTAATTAGCTTTCTCTAATTTATGCAATAACCACTCTTATAGACGGTCATTTTATCTCTTTGTATTCTGTGTATATATAGAATTTAATTCTGCAATCACGCGCTAAATATTCATTGGAGAGCCGTTCTCTCGAATGTAATCTCGATAATTTCAATGAATTCAGCCACGACGATCTCGACGATCTCGGCGAACACGTCGACTCCTACGACCCATCCGTTGCCGGTACGACAATTTCCGGCGTTCGGGAACAACAGCAACGATTGCTCCGTGAGATTCTCCAGTACCAAACATGAGCAGACAGGATACTGGACTTGTGCGGCGAGAGTCTCCACGAGCGATCCTTTCACCAGCACCGAACCCGCCAAGCTCAGCATCGTCAACGCCAATCACGGTAGAATGCTCGAATTTCTTGATTCGATTTCACAAATTTCACTCTTTAATATTTTCGGATGATTATATCTTGATACCTTTAGTCCAAAACTCAATTATCTTTAACCTATTTTGCTTTTTTTTGGGTAAATAGCGAAAAAATTTTTAATAATTTTAACAAATATTTTTCAAACCAAATTTCACATTTTCGGATGATTATATCTTGATACCTTTAGTCCAAAACTCAATTATCTTTAACCTATTTTGCTTTTTTTGGGGTAAATGGGTAAATAATTTTTAATAATTTTAACAAATATTTTTCAAA